AGTTCTAGACTTCCACATGAAATGACTAAGTCAAGCATGAAATGGCTGGTGTGGGTCTTCCGGGCTGTGTGGCCGTGTTCTTGAAGTTTTGTTTCCTAACGTTTCGCCAGCACCTGTGACCGGTATCTTCAGAGTGCAGGAGCATTGTTCTTAGAACAATGTTAGACTGCTTGTGTGCACTAAGGTGGCTAAAATCCTCTTGCAGAAGAATGTAGTTTCATCTGAAGGTTTTTTTGTAGGGATGTGCCAAATTTGGGGCTGGAATGTTCCATTCCACTTCTAGATATTACTTTTCTGGTGGTTCAGCAGTTTCTGAAAGTCAGTCCTATGAACTGGAAGGACACCTCGAACAACATGTTGCCACTTTGGGGAATATATGCTTGGAAATGGCTGAACTGCCCTCAGAGGGGCGCGGACTGAAGCGGAATTGAATATTCCAAGTTCTCTGGAACATGTTCTTCCTGATTACAAAATTTTCCATGTCCTTAGGTTTTTTTTGGGTGGGGGGATATTTGTGTGTATGTTGTAGAATTCGCCATCTATCTTTTGCAGTATAGCCACATATTTCTAACTACCACTTCTAGATGCAGTTGTAAATATATCTAGTAAGAATAGGCTTGTTAATATTTTATGTATTTGTGCATTCCAGGAACAAATTGAATCCAGTGGTAGTTCAGCAGGAGATGAGGACTGGACCCATTTATCTTCAAAGGAAGTAGATCCTTCAACTGGTGAATTGCAGTCCTTGCAAATGGTAGAGGCAGACAGTCCAAGATCTCTGAATCCAGTTGAAGCTCCTGCTAATGTTGGACCGACAGGATTGCGAGAAGCTGCAATCTACCCTCATCTTCCACCTGGTAATAAGAACTATGGAGGCTCCAAAACTATTTTACAGAAATGATCATGTCCTAATAAATATGGGTACAGACTAAATCATAATAAGTATTTTTATAAAAGTACTATTAAAGCATTGGCAGAGCTATAGCAGCCTAATATTTTTTAGGCTTGCATGGAAGTCTGAAAAAAGCTGGGCTGTTTTACTGAAGAGCAGAAGTGCTGTCCGTGCTTACACAGGGGTTGAAACTTTTTTTTCCCAACCACTTAAGAGTGCACGATCCCACATAACACCAAGTATCAAGGGAAGAAATCCTCTATGCCCAGATGGTAGTGTGATTTTAAAAAAGCCTGATACAAGTCTGCCTTTACAGGCAACAGCTTTAAAGGTTTGCCTTTACAGGTAACAGCGGCCTTAACATGACACTTGTACGGCCCAAGTCATTATAGAATGGTACTTTGTAAGTATCCTTTAGCTAGAAAATCAAATTAGTTCAGGAATATTTGAAAGACCTGCTTTCAACCTGAATTTTTAACCTATATTGCCATTTTCCTGCCTCAAATTTTGCAAAGTGTACTAAAATTGTTATGCTGACCATAGTCTGATTTGTTCTTAGCTTTGCATTGTGTGTGCCATTATGGCTTACTATTAAATTTGAACCAGATTTATTAAGGGTTCTATAAAGTGTAGATTAAAAAAAAAAAGATTTAACATGGGTAGTATCTTGTTGCTCCAGGAATAAAATCCCCTGGGTAGTTAAATTCAAGTGTGGAATTGCAAATTTCAGGTATGTAATTACAATTTTTTATGGGCAAGTGAATAATATACTGCAATTCAACCTGTTTACAGAAGCAGATCCTCGTCTGATTGAATCCTTGTCCCAGATGCTCTCGATGGGATTCTCTGATACAGGAGGTTGGCTGACTCATCTGCTACATTCCAAGAACTACGACATTGGGGCAGCCCTGGATGCTATCCAGTATGCCAAGCAACCACCAGCTTCCAAATAGCACCTGTATAATTCAGTTCTTAACCCAGATTGTTAAAGCCTCTTTTTATATCTTTCTCCTTTCTGTAATGATCTGATTGTAATTCCATATTCACAGATATTATAGTCATACTAATTTTCCAAATTTAATTCTTAAAGTAATGCACTGGATAAGGGCTAATATTTACATAAGGGGTAGAACCAGTTTAAAAAGTTAATGACAGCTGGTCTGTTACCTTCAAGTTGTGGCTGTGGCATGGACATATCTCTACAGAGGGCAAGGATATTTTGCTTTCACGTTGGTGAATCTTCCATGTTTAGTCACCATTATGTGGCCATGTGATTATTGGAAACCTTTATTATTGTTTCTGTGTTGAAGTTACAACAGGTTTGTTTTACTAGTGGTATACTAATTTGCCAGTTTTGGTAGCATATTAAAGAAAGCAAACACCAGCAATAGTGTTAGCTTTTATGAGCTATCACCTACCCTGAGATTTGACTTTTGTAAACAGCCTTAGAAATGTTTTCCATGCCTGTTGTATCAATAATAGTGACCCCTTTAACAATAGTCTTGACCATTTTGGCATACAGCATATCTCCACAAATTATTAAAGTCCTTTGTGCCATGCCTAAAACAGTATGATTTGAATATAATCCTTTTTATTATTCAACATTGAATTGTCTGACCATATTGCTATTTTAAACCATCTCAGTAGAAAAGTCAGCAAACCTCATTGTAGAGCCTTAAATATCATCATCAAAATCCTCCCCTGTGGAAAAAAGACTTCCATAAAGGTTGCTTGACTTAGCAGTAGCAAGAGACCTTGTGGAAGTGGTAAATTCTGCAGGTTGTGCCTTATCTTGACAAGTAGCCAAAGCTGCAGAGCATTTGCTGCTTTTCCCAAGTATTCTGGCTATTGCAAGGTGATCAGAGTTGGAGACCTCTTTTGCTCTGTGAAAGGAGGTGACTGCGTTCTGCTGTGGTTCAAGATGCCAGTTATCACACCCAGCATTAGAAGCGGCTGCTCTTTCATCACTTGTACCTGCAACAAGTGTTTTGACTGATGTCCTCTGCCTTCCACCTGTCACGTTAGTGGTGGCACCAGTATCACAACTCTTGTCAGATAAAAGGAATTTCTCCCATTTTGAAAGTCCAGTTAATCTTGATTCTGGCTGTTGATTATTTCTTTGTAGCATATGGTCTTTAGGCACAGGAATTACACTGTCACATATACCATCTCCACAGCTTTTTGCACTAACCATGACTAAGTGTCTCTGATCCTAAAATAAAATAACAAAAATTGAAACAGTGTCAATTAATGTAAATACTTGGGGGTGGGGAGCCTTAGGCAGATATCTATAGTTCCCAGAGCTTTCTTCTATAGCGGTTTCAGTTCAGTGATGGTGATTGCAGTTTGAACTGTAAGAATGTGGTAATGGTAGTCCCCTAGAACTGTCAGCCCAGAGTCATTTACTGGTCAGAAATACAGTTCTCCCACTGTCAAATCAACATTTCAACTCTGAAAGCTCAGTATTAATTACATAATGGAAAATGTGTTGTCACACAGAGATTACTACAGGTAATAAAGTTAGGTATATGACGTGTGCCTTCAGAAATGTTTACAATCCACAAAATGTTCAATAGTATGAGATCTATCACATTTCAAAGGATACTCTGAGAAGTAGATCCATACATGCTAATTTTAAAAAAGCAGATAAAATTTACTATTTTAGAGTTGGAAAGAGTTATTTAGGCTTTCAGTGGAGCTCCGCCATCTAACTGTTCTACTAGGGAATTCTTCCTAATACTAAACTGGAGTCTGGCATTTTGTAACTTAAATCCACTATTCCTTGTTGAGTGGTGAATCATTCAATGTTACCCTGCAAGTTTCTGTAGCTGAGGGTGCACTTGAATGTGGATGCTGCATTGCACCTAAAAGGACAGTAATACAAACCAAACTAGATACTGCAAAGTTTCTGCCATTCTCGGCCAACAGAGAAATACTGAGACACCTGAGAGAGTGTTTATCCTGTATTTCCTAATACATAAACATCACAGAGTCCTATTACAATATAAACAAAAGTATTCTGTACGTTGACTGAGAAGGGAACTATTGTTACTATGTAAAAAGTCAAAGATAATTTCTGTATGCGGATAGTCCTTGACCTACGACCATTTGTTCAGTGCCTGTTGGTGGTTACTCAGTTCTGAGAGTTCTGGCTGTCCCAGCACCTCTGTGGTCACACGATCATGATCTGGGCGCTTGGCAACTGGATCACACTTAGGACCGGTTGTAGCACCCCATGATCACAGGATTGCCATCTGCAGCATTCTCTGCCGGCTTCCACAGGAAGCCGGCAGGGAAGGTCACAAGTCACTGGGATAAGTCTCCCGCACCCTCCCACAGCCCCCCTGCACTGTGCCGGCCACTTGTGCACCCCATATACCCTAGTGCACCCTCCTTGACCACCTCTTGCGCACACTCTGACCCACACTGCACTCCCTCACATCCTTGGCAGCCTGCGCCTCTCACGCACCCCCTGGCCCACACCACCCCTGTGCTTCCTCCCCCACCTGGCACGGCCATGTACCTGCCTGCCAGCCTGACACAACTTCCTGCTGGCTTCCCCGCTGGCTTTGGTTGTGGGAAGCTGGCACGAAGTTGCCTTGCCTAACAACTGGGATTTTGTTAACGACCACAACTGGGACTGCTGTTGCTAAGTTATATGGTCGCACTTTACGACTGCATCACTTAGTGATGGAAATTCCAGTTCCAATTGCCATCCTAAGTCGAGAACTACCTGTATTCATCTTGTATATTGACTCTCATTCTTGGAAGAACAGTATACAGGTAGTCCTCACCAATCATTCAGCGGCTGTTTGAAGTTATGATGGTGCTAAAAAAATAATTATGGCCCATTTACAACCTTCACAATATGTCTCATCTCTGCATTCCTACAAAATTATAGATGTTTCAGTTACATCTTCCAAAGCTCAATATTTTAACTCTAGCTATATAAGAAAATTACAGAAATATGTCATATATTCCATTTTAGCTTGTGATTAGTGACAGAACTATGCAGGCACTAAGTCTTATTTTAGTACTCCATTGCTAAGACTTCAGTAAGCAATTCTTGAATGTGTTGAGTCTATCCTTGTGAGAACTATAAGATTTTTAGATGAAAGTGGATACCCTGCTGTCAAATTATTTTATAATACATTCTATATTTTTTCTAGAGAGCCAGTTTGGTTGTAGTGGTTAAGGCATCAGGCTAAAAACTGGGAGACCATGAGTTCTAGTCGTACCTTGGGCCAGTCACACACTCTCAGCCCTAGGAAGGCGGCAATGGGAAATAATTTCTGAAATCTTGCCAAGAAAATTGCAGGGACTTGTTCAGGCAGTCTCCAGGAGTCAATGCTGACTTGAAGGCACCAAAAAAAAAAAAAAAAAAAAAGTTCTGTGGTCTTGTGAAACAATGACATATTCAACTATGTTTCAGTCAAAAGGTTGTGCAGTGTCAGGTGGAAAAAATATATTTATGTTTAGAAGCAGTGGCACAAATACAGATTCTGTTCCACTTAACTCCTGATTGAATTAATGCTCAAACTCAGTTTATAGTTTGTAGACTTTTCCAAGGAATTTCAAAATCCTCCTGGGCAGAAAGATTGCCAAGAAATGGCAAGGAGAGGGAAAGTGCATTGCATCAGCTGGCTGCCTCCATCTCTGTTAAAAAGTTTCCTCTCAGGATCAGACCTTAAATAAACCAGGATAGAACTGGACCCATGGGGTAATCATTGCCTCATTTGGGGAGGGAAGTGTTCCCCCCCTGCCTAAAGGAGGCAGTAATAAAACCTTTATTGAAGGTTTCCATCATCAGAAGACCTATACAATTTCAATGTTCCTTTCTGGGAAAGGGGATTAAGTACCATAGAGGTTTTTGTGACATACATATGTACACAGAGAAGATAGTAGCCTCACAACTCAAGGCACATCTGAATGGTATTAATTTGCTGGATCCATTTCAACTGGGTGCTCAGGTGGCAATGTTTGAAGCAATCATCCACAGTATCTTTTGAGACACTTGATTGGATTGGAACTGGGCCCTTTTTAAAATAGTGGTTTTTGTCCTTCCTATTGGACCATGTCGAGAAGATGATGTTGTGTTACTACTGTTCAACACCTGGTTCATGGATGTGCAAGGTTCCAATCTGTTTCCCAAGCTGTTCAACGTTCACATGAAACCACGGGGGCGAGGTCCTGAGGCTTTGGAGTGTGCTGATGACACCCAGTTTTATTACTGCTTACCATCCAGTTCAAGAGAACAACCAATCGGAATGTTGCCCAAGTTTGATAATAGGCTGGATGAGGGAGAACAAGCTGAAATCGAATCCAGACAAGACAGAGATGCTGTTGATCAACACAACACTGGATTTGGAGATTAAAGGTCAGATTGTTTTGGATGGTACTATTTAAAAAGTTGGAGTACAGTTTGATCCTCAGCTGTCATTACACGTCACTTGGTGATTTTGGCAAAAAGTACTTTTCTGTAATTATGTCTAGTGCCAGCTACATTCCTGTCAGAATTCTCTAACTATATCTAGGCCTAGAAATGAATGATTATTCAAGGCACAAGTTTTTCTGAGTTCTGATTAATAAGACTTACTAAGAAAAAGGTTGCAGTTCTATTATAGGAATTCCAATTGCTTTCAGATATGAACTTTATATATTGGCAATTCAAAACCATAAGCTTGCTTTTTTCTTCTACTTTGTCAATGAAGAAAGGAAGAATCATAGAATCATAGGGTTGAAAGAGATCTTGGAGGTCTAGTTCAACTCCCTGTCCAATGCAAGAATCCCCATACTGCCCTGGACAAATTGCTGTCCAATCTTTTCTTGAAAACTTCCAGTGATGAAAGTGATGAAACTTCAGGAGGCAGGCTGTTTGATTGCTTAGTAGTTCTCAGTGTCAGGAAATTCCTAATTTAATTTTTGGATCTCTCATTGTAAAGCTTCCACCCACTGGTTCTTGTGTTACATATGGGTGCTCTGGAAAATAAATCCACACCCTCTACCCTGTGACATCCCTTCATGTACTGGAAGACTGTTATCATCTCTCCCCTTAGCCTTCTCTTCTTTAGGCTAAACATCTCAAGTACATGACTCGGGGGGCTCACAACATTAAAACAATTAAAATACATATGAACATTAAAATAAAACAAAAAATAAACACAGCAACTGAAAAATCATAAAAAGCCCTCAACATAGCCAAGAAACGGGCTCCATCCCACACCCAAGACCCCAGACTGGTGCACAGAACCAGGTTTTCAAAACCTTATGAAAGGCCAGCAGGGTGGGGGCCAACCTCACCTCAGGAGGGATGATGTTCCAGAGGGTGGGCGCCATAGCAGAAGAGGCTCTTCTTTGGGGCCCTACTAGCTAACACTCCTTGGCTGACAGAACCTGCAACATGCCTCTCCTGCCGGATCAGATAGGACAGGTAGAAACAACTCGGAAGAGATGGTCTCGTAAGTAACCCAGCCCTAAGTCATGTAAGGCTTTAAAGATAACTACCAGCACCTTGAATTGCACCCAGAAGCAAACTGGTAACCAATGAAGCTTGTGAAGCTGTGGTGTCACATGTCCTGAGAAACCAGCATCGTTAATTGCCGAGCTGCTCCATTCTGCACCAGCTGAAGTTTCCAAATGCTCTTCAAGAGCTGCCCCATGTAGACCACACTGCAGTAGTCAAATGGTAGGTCATGGTAACTGTGAGTAGTAGTCAAATGGTAGGTAGGTGACTGTGACCGGGGGCCCCCGGTTCAGGAATGGGCACAACTAATGTTCCTTTAACTGCTATGTTTAGGATTTAGCCTCCAAGCCCCTTACCATCTTTGTCACTCTTCTTTGCACTCTTTGCAGTTTCTCAACATCATATTTATATTGTGGTGACCAGAACTGGACAAAGTATTCCAGGTGTGGTCAGATCAGTGCAGCACAGAATGGTACTATCACTTCCTGTGATCTTGACACTATACCTCTATTGATGCAGCCTAAAACTGTATTGGCCTGTGGCACATTGCTGGTCAGACTTAATCTGTGGTCTACCAAGACACCCAGATCATTCTCCCAAGTACTACTTCCAAGCCAGGTATCACCTATCTTGTCTCTTCTGAGAAGGTGAACCAACCTGCACCTGGATATTGTTCACACAACAGCTGCTAGACTCAGTATGAGATTCACTCTCCCCTTCCTGAGCTTGAGAGATTTTCCGGGCACCCACATCTTTGTTACACCTTAACTAGTGCTGTATGTGAAGCTTTTGTTGAAAAATACTCGGAAGTTGCAGTTAGTGCATCGTGCAGGAGCCAAACTGCAAACTGGTGTAAAGTACAGGGATTCTATGATGCCTGTACTAAAAGATCTAAACTGATTGCCAACTGCTTTACTGGACACAGTTTAAGGTGCTATTGATCGTAAGTGGCTTAGGATTCAATTATCTAAGGGACCCCCACTGCAAATCTATCTAAACCTGTTGTTAATATCAACAGCAGAGACCTGCTTGAAGACGTTGCCACTATGAAAAGCTTGTCTTTCTAGCAATGGGAGAGGGCCTTCTCCTGCTTTGTTCCCAGGCTACAGAATTCCCAGGCTCTTAGAAGCTGCAGTTGGCCCCATTCTCTTAGAGCTTAGGAAATTTGCAAAGATGCCTCTCTTTTGTCCAGTTTTTAATGATTAATGATTTTACTACTTACTTTGTTGATTTTTAAATATGCATTGTTAAACATTTTTCTGTTTGTTTTTAAATGTTGTAAGCTATCTTGACTGTTCACAGAAACAGAAAAGTAGAATCAAATCAAATCATATTTTTTACTTGATTTAACAGCTCATGATTGTCTATTCTTTGAACTTTTATTTTTAAAGATGCTCTTTCTAAATCATAAAGTCTTACCTGCCAGCCTAATTTTTCTTTGATGTTAACAGCCACGTTCTCATCACCTATCCGTACTGATTCTTCTTTACACCTGGAAATAGATCACACTAAACTATACAAAGTGTTCATATTCAGTGAGGTGCATAAATGTAGCTAGGCAAAAGCCTATGTGCACACCAGCATCAGCACCAAATCACAATGTTACCAAACTTACCACACACAGAATAACATGTACACAAATGCTGCAATTACATACTTGTGTCAGGAGTTTGACACAAATACAGATGATTATGTCATTAGATAAATGTTATTTACTCCATCCCCTGTGTGCATAAATATAGAAAAAAAGAGCAATCAAAATGCTAATACTATACCTAAGTTTGTTAACAGGTGTCTGATCCCATTCACCTTGCAGCAAGTTTAGCTTCTGTACATGATGCCTGCAATCAGCTCCAGAGCCCTGGCCAAAAACCTAAATAAGTTGAAGTTCCATTAAAACACTATTTCTCTTCAATTCTCGAATGCTAAACTGAAAATTAAAGAATATAATTACACCTGAGTACAACTGTTCCAAGGGTATGTGGGAGGAAAACAAGTCTCGTACCACACTTGGATATATGCATATACCAAATAAACATATTACAATAGAAGAGAATATATGTAGCTCAGGGTTGAACTGTGGAGTCCTTGGGGTTCTCTGAGCTTGGTTGTTTTCTTGCAAACGTTTCATTACCCGACTGGGTAACATCTTCAGTGCTGGAAGGGAGTGGGGTTTGCTCTGTTTATATGTTGGGTAACATATAATACTAAATAATAATAATATATAATCTTATACATGTAAAATCAGAAGTAAGCCCTGTGAACTTCAGTGAGACTTACCCACAGGTAAATATGTACAGAATTGATGAGTGAGACCTAAGAAAGAGTTCTGCTGCCCAAAAGTATTAACCAATTAAAAAAAAAAAACATGCATTACATACCCTTAGAATTGACTGCTTTTCATCACACATTTTGCAGTTCCATTTTTTGCTTTTTTTAATCTAAGAAAGAACGGTAAGTATAGTCACTGTATTTGCATTAATAGTTCAGACATTCACTGTTCTGATTGTGTATAGAATTTCCAATGACAATTTAATCTTTCATTGAATTTACATATGGAGAGAAAAAAATGTTCTTTCCCCAAATAGCTCTAAATCTATAATCTGGTGACTAAACTCTGGACCTGAGAGATATAATTCTATATCACTGAAGCCTAAATTTCATGAACTGCCTAAATTATGCAAATTAATTTAGATCTCTTGTTTAACTCATGTAATTTATACTAAAGCTAAAATAATGCCATGTGCAACAATATTGTTGATGCTAAATTTATGAGTTTTTGGCACCAATTTAAAGTGTAACTTTTCACCCAGGCTTATGGTTAAAACTGTACCAATGTTAAACCTTTGTTCCCTTTTCTTTTCAGTGCCCTTCATTATAGAGTTTTTAACGGTTTTATGGTTTTAAAGATGTGGCATTTTAGAGGGGATTTATTAAATGTATTGTTATTGCTATTACTTTAAACATTTTTTTAATGCACTAAAATTTATTTTTAATTTGTCCCACACTTTGAGATCCTTTTTAACAGTGAATATGTATGTTAGAAATCGGATAAAAAAGCAAGCACTGAATCCTGCTTCAACTAAGATGACCTGATTTTCTTCCTAGTTCTAAACGTGTGTTCAGTGGAGTTACAAAAGCAGAGTAGGTGCTGAAATCTTCTCTATTATTTAAATCTGTTGTAAATGTATAAGGCAATGGGATCAAAGTTCTTCTGTGCCTAGCACTGTCCACTACAAAGCATAGTAACTCAGCAGGCGGCTGCACCTGGCTGACTTTATTGGAAGGGGCAGGTCTGGTTAGTACTTGGATAAGATACCACCAGGAAATCCCAGAAGGCAGTGACAAACCATTTCCATATCGTAGTCAAGAAAATTGCAGACCTATCCGAGTTCAACAACTCAAAGGAGAATTCAACTTTTTATAGAGTGCGATATGTGTAGTCCAGAAAATATTCTGTTATGAGAGTAGGAAAGTACTTTTTCAATTAGTATCTCCAGGGGATTCAACCAAAGCATATTATATTGGAGGAGAAGCAATAAACTGGGGTCCAGAGTCAATTAAGGGCACATATTACATGGTAATATCAGAACATAAAAACTGAAATTTAATATTGTATTTATTTTGTACTTAAGTGTCATGGGACTGTCCAAGCTTATCTTAATAACAAGGTCAGCTTGTAACACTCAAACTGGTTTTCTGTCAGCTACCAAATCCTCCACAGATGTAGCTCCAAGAGTTCAGTTAACTTGCCGTCTGAGAAACAACCACTAGTTAACTCCTCAGTCATCCCTGATTCACATTCTGTTGGTTGTGGATTATGGGAATGGAGGTTCAAAATAACTGAAGGGCAGCAGGTTGGGAAAAGCTCTGTGAAACTAAAGCCCATTTGATTTTATGCATCAGGCTGCTGCCAAACATAAATTTCTCTAATCTCAGATACTTCTTACTATGAAGATCTGCCCCTTACTCAAGAGCATCACAGTCCTGAGAATGGATGTCCTTTTTTCCACACTCCTTATACCCTCCAACCTTGAGTACAAGCTCCTCTTTTTAAAAAAAAAAAAAAAATGAATATTTCTGCTTTTCCAAAAACTTGCTAGAGTTTCACTTCCTTGGTTCAGTTCAAATTAGCCTTTTAGCCAATGCAGAGTTCCTTTTTTCACAAAAAAAAAAAAAAAAAAAA